TGTGTGCGAAAAGTTAGAGCGAATCGAGCATCAAAAGTGAAGCCAATGCCAAATTCCGCGCCCGCGAAATCCATTCCGCGAGATACACTCAACTCGCGAGGTAGCTACAAGGACAGTCTTCAAATTTCGCGCCCGCGAACGCAATTCCGCGAGTTAGCTGCAACTCGCGAGTTGGCTACATGCTGCAGAAGCCAAATTCCGCGCCTGCGAAAATCCTCACCTAGCCCGCGAATCACCTCTACCTCGCGAGTTCTCCTTTGCTAGCGGAAATAGCCCTCGAAAATCAAGATTTAGCTCGCGAGTTCTCCTTTACTCGCGAGTTTTCTCTTTTAATGTGTGTGTTTTAGTGTGTGTTTGTGGTGTAGCTATAAATAGACATTATGCTTTGTATTTTTGGAGAATTCCTCATTTTGCTAAATTTTCCTTTTTAGTTTTTGCTCCCTTCTCTCTCTAGTTTTCTTTCTTTCTCTAAGGGCTCCAAGACCCTATTTTTAATTGTAATATTTCTCCATCAAGATTACAACTTTTTGGCTTATTTCTTCTCGTGGATGCATTAGAGACGTGGAGACTTCGCTTAAGGTTCATGATTTCGTTAGTCTTGCTTGTCTTTACTTATTGAGTTATTCTAGGGTTAAGATATGCACATCCATGAGTCATTATGCTATCATCCTCGTAGGCTAGGGATTATGTGATATTATTATTGATTGCGTGAGCGAGAATTGATTGAGAGATTAATTGATCACGAGTGACTATTGCTCGGTTGCATGTTCCCGAGCCTATGAGGGCCTTCTTTCCATCTCGGGTCTAGGAGTACCTTGTTCTTTTTCTTTTTATTTTTCTTTTTATTGCAATTTGAGGTGTTGCTTGCGATAAAGTTTGAATCTTGCTTTCGTTTTTGCTTAAATTGCGTTCTTAGCTTAATCCGAACTCCCAATCATGCGAGTAGAATGTTTAGGATTTTTATTTTCTTTTCTTGTGTGAGTCGATCGTTGCTTGAATCCGTGTCCGAATAGCCTTCCTTTGAGAACGACCCGAGTCCGGGTAACTCGGTTATCAACTACCCAAAAATACTACAAACAGTGGGCAAATCGGATCGAGGCACGTGTAAAGGCTCTGAAACGGCACGACTTTTCAGGGCCGACAAGAATTACAACGGCCACATTGCATTAATGGGTACGTCGCCTCAGCTCGCGTCATCAATGTATCGAAGGAATCACAAATTCAACTCCAAGAGAAGCGGAAGCGCCGAGATGAAATCTGGAAAACTCAGGGTTGGGTATCAGTGTAACGACCTCGGACAAGATGTTGAGAAACCTCTCTCCAAGCTCGGGGGCCTGTATGTTGATATCCGAGTTAGCCCAGAACGAACCGGGAAGGCTTAGCCCCTCAAGATCCGGGCTGAGGACCCGGACAGGCACGTGAGTGCCGAACTGAACCAAAAAATGAAGTACTAAGGACCACCGTAGGAATGTTTCTTGAGACCGGCACCCAGC